TTTCCCCCTTCACTGAAGCAAGCAAGCCTCATGTTAGTTTCAAGCTGCCTGGCTGCCGGCCACCATCTTAGCTGGCAGTTAATTTGCATATCTCGCTGATTAGCCAATGGGAAGGGTAGCGGTTGTACGCCAATTACCATGTTTCTCTTTTATTAGATAGGACTAGTAGCCTGGTGCACAATAATTTGTGCACTCGGGGGTGGGGGTGAGGGTGAGGGGTGAGGCCAGACTCCTCAGCCCGACCTGCAACCTCTGTCATGTTCCGGGACCTTGGCCACTCCTGGCCTACGCACAGGCCTACAGGCTTGGGGCAGCCCGGCTCCCGAGGCCCCATTTTATCAAGAGAACAAAGTTGGCGTTAGTTACAGCCCTCTCCGAACCCAGTACACTACATCTGTGCGTACAATTGCCTCCTTCATGTGCCTGCTTTGCCCTACTGAATTACTAACATCTTGAGGACATAGCTCTGTCTTATCCTGCTTCAACTTCAGTGCCTGGCCTGGTGCCACGGACCTGAGAGGGTTTGCTGAGTGAGTGAATAATGAATGAGTGAATGAGTGAATGAATGAGTGAATAAGTGAATGAGCAAGCAGCTAGGGGGCGGGAACTTCTCTGCCGCGTTGCCGTGGCAATGTGGCAGAAGTTCCCGGCCGCACTCCCGGCTGCCTGAAGCCCACCCTGGGAAGTTGCCGTCCTGTTCCCAGCTGCCCGGTGCCCCTCTCCTGGCTGCATAGTTCGTGCCCCGCTCCCGGCTGCCTGATGCAAACCCTAGGAAGTTCCTGCTCCGCTCCCAGAGGCCCCATGCCCCTCTCCTGGCTGCATAGCTCGCACCCTGCTCTCGGCTGCCTGATGCAAACCCCGGGAAGTTCCCGCCCTGCTCCCAGTGGCCCCATGCCCCTTTCCCAGCTGCATAATTCGCGCAGGGCAAAGGCGGCCTGGGTTCTCTTCCTTTGCCCTGTCACCCAGCTCTTGCCTGCCGCCTGGGTTTCCGATCACTGTCAGCGGCATGCGGCTTCTTCTGTCCTTCCCCTTTCGCCTCCCATCATTGTGCCTATGTATGCAAATTAACCGCCATCTTTGTTGGTATTTAATTTGCATATCACCCTGATTAGCCAATGGGAAGCGTAGCGGAGGTACGGTTAATTACCCTTTTTGTCTTTTATTAGATAGGATTAGGAAGTACTATACTTTGCTTTTTATGTATCCTATATAATAATAGTTAATATGCAAGTTGACCCTAACAGCAGAACAGCCGGAAATGACTGGTTGCTATGACATGCACTGACCACCAGAGGGCAGACGCCCAGTGCAGGTGCTGCCCCCTGGTGGTAAGTGCATTTCCACAGAGGGAGCACCACTCAGCCAGAATCTCGTTTATGGCTGGCCAGTGTAGTGGAAGTGGCGGGAGCCTCTCCTGCCTCTGCAGCAGCACTAAGGATGTTTGACTAACGGCTTAGGCCCGCTCCCCCGGGAGTGTGCTTAAACCAGCAGGTGGATATCCCCCGAGGGTCCCCGGTGTGTGAGAGGTGCAGGCAGGAGAGGCTCCCGCTGAGGGATCTCCCTAGCCGCCGCCGAGTGCACGAATTTTCGTGTACCGGGCCTCTAGTAAATATTATAATTCACTAGCGGCCTGGTGCACAAATTGTGCATGGATCAGGTCCGGCCGGCCCTGCCCCGATTGGGGTTGGGGGGCCGATTGGGGCTGGGGCCAGCAGAGGGGAGGGGATGGTGGGAGGTTGGCCGGCAGGCCCCGCCTCCCTGCAGTGCGTGTCATAGCAACTGGTCGTTCTAGTTGCTTAGGGTTTTATATATATAGATACATCCAAAACATTTCAACACTCCAGTACCCATTAAGCAGTTTCTTTCCATTCTTCTCTTCCTCTAACCCCTGACATCTACCCATTTGCCTTCTATGTCTATGAATTTATCTATTTTGAGTATTTTATATAACTTGGAATCACACAATGTATGATCGCTTATGTCTATTTTCATTTAACATCATGTTTTGGGGGTATATCCACATTGTGCCTTTACAAGTACTCCATTTCTTTTTATGGCTGAATTATATTCCATTGTGTGTGTATATATCACAGTTTGTCCAATCTTTGTGTCATTTGATCTCTCAAGCCATTCAACAGTTTACTACTTTCTTTTTCGACCATTTTTTCCCCATGGCTTCTGTGATACTAAATCCTCCTGATTTTTCTTTCTACTTAACTTGGGCTTCCACTATTAAATGTCAGTGTTTCTTAGGGTTCAGTGGAAGAAGAGGGAATAGTCAGTTTAATAATCAAGTCTACTAATTTAATCTCCTTTTAAAAAATATAAATTTTTATTCATTTCAGAGGGGAAGGGAGAGGGAAAAAAAGAGACAGAAATATCAATGATGAAAAAGAACCATTGATTGGCTGCCTCCTGCAAGCCCCACACTGGGAATCGAGCCCGCAATCTGGGCATGTGCCCTTGACCGGAATTGAACCTGGTACCCTTCAGTCTGCAGGCTGATGCTCTATCCTCTGAGCCAAATTGGCTAGGGCGGATTTAATCTCTTAAATATATCTCAGATGTACTTTATTTTTACTATTACGATTCTAATCCAGGCTATGGTCATTTCTTATCTTCCTATCTGGCTGCCCTGTGTTTTGCTCTTGCCCCTCTATGAATTCTAAAACACGATTTTTACTCTTCTACCTGATACTTTTAATGACTTTACATTTATTTGGAGTATAATGTAATCTTAACATTGTCTCAACCCTGTATAGTTTGATTAGAGTCTTCCTCTTGCCCGGACAGTGTGGTACATTGGTTGAACCAGGAGATTACAGTTTGATTCGGGGTCAGGGCATATCAAACTAATCCCCAGTAGGGGCTGTGCATGAGGTAGCCAATCAGTGATTCTCTCTCACCATTGATGTTTTTATCACTCTCTCTCCCTCTCCCTTCCTCTCTGAAATCAGTAAAAACATATTTTTAAAAAGTCTTCCTCTCCAGTTGTATCTGTTAGAGCATTGCTCTTTTTTCTCCCTTTCAGTCTGTGCAATAGCCAGTCTTCTTGCCTCTTGGCCTTTATGCAGTTGTTCTACTTTGTGCTTGCAATCCTCTCCTCACTATACCCCACTTGACTCTCAAGTGCATATTGGTTTAATTTCCTCAGCTAGATTGTGCATTTCTTGAGGACAAAGGTCAGATTTTAAGCTTTTTTTGAATGTTCAACAGTTTAGTATAGTTTTGAATACATAGTGGCTAATCAGTAAATGTTGGTTTTTGATAATAAGACATCAGGAAACACTAGAGAGGGAGTATATGCGCCATGTGGGCAGCGGTTTTGTCTTGGTGCTAAGAACACTACTTAGTATGTAGTAGGATTTTAAAGGAAGCGTGAATGAGAATATATTAGTCTTTCTTCATTTAGAAGCAGCAAAACCAGTCTATACTAGAGTTTCGATTCTCTCAGATATGGTATGGTATTAAGTATCAGTAAAACATTTCTGCTTTCAGTGCAGAAATTATGTGATTGGAAGACTGTAAGAGAAGATGAGGCTGAGAAATGTAACAATTTCATTTATACTGTAACTTCATCACTCTTAAGCATAAATTCTTGAACTCAGCATTTTTTGTTTTTTACTTATGAAAATTTCAAACATAAACTAAGTCTAATGTAGTAAACTGGTAATTACCTATTACCAAGCAGTAATTGTCAACATTATGGCAGTCTTGTTGATTAGATTCAGTTCCTTTTTCTTTTTTATCCTCGCTATTCATTTAATCTTTTAATAATTCCTGGCCACTTTTTGTTGCAATTTTTTTATTTCCCCTAACTCCTGACTTCTAAATTATAAGGATGTTTTCCTAATTGGTCTCTCTATATACTATTGTTTCCTATCTTTCAAATTTATCTTATATATTCTTGGTAAGTTAATTTTCATATTTAAATGTTATTCTCATGACCCAGCAAAGGTTATACTGTGTAAAAGAAAAAGTCTGTACTCATCTTGGAGTTTGAGACCCTCCTTAACCTGAGTCTGCTTTATCTAATCAACTTTATTTCCCCCTCATCTTTATCACAAATCCTCATACGTGTATGTCTCCATCCATTCATTTAGACGTTATGGTCTTGCTTCTTATTGAGCATATGTGTTTTATAAAATATGAATATATTAAATTTATACTCAAATGTTGCCAGGTAATATGTAGATTCTAAGACAAATAATGGAAGTTTTGTGAATTTTTATCTTTTTTTGAAGCAGGATTTCAATATGACTTTTAATTCAGAGACTGTGATTCTTTATCTTTAAGCAGAGGCAAAAGAGCCTAAAGATAACAAGGAGGTATCAAATCCTGATGATTTGGAACTTGAATTGGAAAATCTAGAAATTAATGATGACACCTTGGAGTTAGAGGGTGCAGATGAAGCTGAAGATCTTACAAAGAAACTTCTTGATGAGCAAGGTAAGCACTATTTTGACAAAATTTTTAATTAGTTTTTCTACCCAAAGCTCCAGCCTAAGAATGCGGATCTTTACTCATTAATTTCTGTTTTCCTTTTGTTTCCAAGCTATCATTATTTCAGAATTTGATTTAGAACAGAAATATTGTATGTCCCATATTATATGACTGTAAGTTTTAATGATCATTTAAATTCTAACTATCCTAATAGAGATTTCTTATGCTTCTCTACTTCCTAGCATTATTCTGAATTTATTTTAATTCTATAATATAATCTTTACAATCTTAATATAAATGTATCTGAGAGTTATTCAAAACGGTTGAGAGATAGCCCTGGCTGGTGTGGCTCAGTTGGTTGGGTGTCATCTCATGCACTGAAAGGTTGCTGGTTTGATTCCTAGCCAGGGCACCTAAATAATAAACAAACAAACAAATAAGTAAATAGTACGTAAGTAAATAAGTAAATAAGTGTAAGTAAATAAATAAATAAATGAAATGGTTGAGAGATAAAAGACAACTAGTAGATCAGTTGATCTGTGATCATTTTATCTGTATTTACAATTAGTTTTATAGTCAATAATAAAAAATATTGTTAGTTTTATTATTTAGGATTTTTTATTTAGAAGGATATCTTCTGTCAGTATTACTTTTCTCTCTATTGGCTTCATTGTTTCCTGCTGCAGATTTTCTTTCCTGGTGTCATGAAAAGAGGGTGGGCCTGGCTGGTGGCTGTCTCATGCTCAAATCATACCAGCTAGTGACATAAAAGGAAAGAGATTCTCTCTACTGTGTATATAAGTGTCATGGAAGGACTTAGCTGGTGACCCAGGGGAAATGGAGGTATGCTGTGATCTGGCAGCACCCTCCCCCATCAGAATCCCATGGACTTACTTCAAAAGGCAGCCATGAGAGTGCTATTAATTGAAGACTTGCAGGAAGGGGTCCTTGTTAGGTAAAAGTAACAGATTTACTATAAAACTACATGTAATTTATGATTAATATTTTGTGTCTAATGCAAAAGTAAGTCACTTTATTGTTTATCTGAAAGACTGTAGTGACTTGGGGTTGTGATTCTAGAGATACCCAAACTTTCTAGGGCCAAATCTCAAAAAATGCTTCATTTTTTTCATTGGTAAGAAAAGTGCTTTAGATTATCTATTTCCCAAATAACTAATAATTGCATGTTTTTATTCTTATATTGCTTCTGTATTTTTTAAACCTAGAACAAGAGGATGAAGAAACCAGCACTGGATCTCATCTGAAGCTCATAGTAGATGCTTTTCTCCAGCAATTGCCCAACTGTGTGAACCGAGAGCTGATAGACAAGGTTTGATTGTCTCAGTATAACTTTACTGAAGCACATACACCAAGTAGGATAGCCCTAATTAATAATGTCTGCAGTTTTTGGACTATTTTAGCTCTAGAATGAACCATTTCTTCAAATGGAATTTTATATTGGTATCCAAAATAAGCACATAAATTTGGAGCCAATCTGTAGATGTTCAGTTTGGAAGTGGAACTGTCTCTAAAATCCTGTTGGCTTGACACTTTGTCACATAGGGACCCCACAGTTCGGAAAGTAGAACAGAAATTTTTAAAAGCTCTGTAGAGTACTGCTGTCTTCCTAGATACTTAATGGGGGTCTATAAGGTCAAAACTTTTCATACTAATATTAAGGTATTTTTTTTTCCTTTTTCACTGTTTTTGATATTTACAAAAATGATTATGGATAAAGCTGCTGACATTTTTACAAATCAAAATGAAGTAGTAGTAAGCTGTACTCGTAGCTCTTGTCTTTGCTGCCATGCATTTGAAATTTAAAAAAAATGCCACTTTCACTTAAGAGTCTCCTTGATGAATCCATACAAATTAGTGCTTTCATTTCATTTCAACTTTTGAGTACCTGCCCTTTTAATCTGACAAAATGGGACTTCTGCTTTCTTAGAGTTGTCTGGGAAAAATGACTTGTGTTTGAGTTGCAAGCTGAACTAATTGGTTTTTGTTGTTTTTTTTATAGAATACCCTTTTTACTTGAAAAAACTGATGGCAAAACTGATTATTTTTTCCATGTTGGGTGTTTAGCCATTTTTCTTTAATTTTGTTTGTTTGTTTTTTTAAAGATTATCATGATAGGATTCTGTTTGTAATCACTATGACCATTAAAATAATCTTGTATTCCACTCCAAAAATTTCTGAAAGGATTGGAATAGATGTCAAAATCACTCATTGCCTATAGTTAATGACATTTAGGATTAGATATGTTATTTGAAAAGACTAAAACAGAATGTGCTGAGTTAGACAGGAGAAGGGATATGGGTAGATTAGTAAAATTTATTGATCCCAAGAAAATAATATAACTAAGTTATCTAATGATAGGTATGTAATGTAATCATCTAATTAAAAGTAGATTGCAGTTCATCAATTTATAAGCTTTTCTTAGTTTAATTTCCCAATCTATTTTGTTAAAATACTCAGAATGGCCCTAGTGGATAGAGCCAGTTTGGCTTAGTGGATAGAGCGTCAGCCTGAGGACTGAAGGGTACAAGTTCGATTTCAGTCAAGGGCACGTACCTGGGTTGTAGGTTCCTTCTGGCCTGTGCCCTGGTTGGGGCGCATGCAGGAGGAAACCAGTCAATGTGTTTCTATCATATTGATATTTCTCTCTGTCTTTCCCTCTCCCGCTCTCTCTAAAAATCAATGGGAAAATATCCTTAGGTGAGGATAAAAAAAAACAACTCAGAATAGCCGACAATTTTCTAACATGAACAAGATGAACTTTACACTTCAAGGAAAACAACTAAAAGTATTTATTGCCAACAAACACATTTGAGTTGTCAACAAAAATTAGAATTTTGGAAAACTTATGTCTACTATCATAAACTTGACAGCTTCCCAGTTTTTTTCTGAGGAGACTTTATCCATGAGATTTTTCTGATGGGAATGGTGGTGATATTAAATAATATAATTTAAAAATAATATGTATGCATTTGGAAGATCAGCATAACTCAGGGAACCATTCTTCTGAGTGGTCCGTGCACAATGCTAACAAAGTTTTGCTTGGTTGTTAAAGATCCACTCAAAGTGCAAGGTAGATTTTAATCCAACAGCATGGAAATTTGATAAGATTTCAGATTCCACATTTCTCCTAACCCTTAAGAAACTACCACTTATCAAAGAATATTTAGAAATCCTGAAAAGGATATTAAAATTCACCTCTTTTCCCAGCTATATATATGTGTAAAGTTGAATTTTCTTCATATAGTTCAGCTAAACACATCACAACAGATTTGCATACATAATAGATAACAGACTCGTTTTCTTTTAAAAAAAGTGCCACTCGTCTGTCCCTAAAATATTATTTTAATTGTTTTTAAATATGTCTTTTATTGACTTGAGAGACAGAGGAAGGGAGAGGGAGAGAGAGAAACATTGATGTGAGAGAGAAACATTGATCTGGTGCCTCCCTAACAAACCCTGACCAGGAAGTGAACCCACCATCTGGGCACGTGCTTTGATGGGGAATTTAACTGGAGACCTTTTGGTACGCAGGATGGTGCCCAACCAACAACTGAGCCACACTGGGCAGGGCAACATTTTTTTTTTTTAATATAGTTATTTCAAAAAACTGTTAACTAATACGTTTATTGGTATTTTTAAATGAATTCGTAAGTTTAAAGTTTCTCAGTTTTAATTTGTAACAGTAAATGACAATAAATATAAGCCACATAAATGAAGTGCTTTCAGTCTTGAATAATTTTTCGTTGCTGTTCTTAATCCTTACCCGAGGATATTTTTTCCATTGGTTTTTACAGGGAGTGGGGTTGGGGGTGTGGGGGAGAGAGAGAGAGGAGCATAGATTTTAGACTCATTGATTGGTTGTCTCCCACACACACCCCTATTGGGGCTGGGGATTGAACCTCCAACCCATGTATGTACCCTTGACCAGGAGGAATTGAACTCGTGACCCTTTGGTGCGAGGGCTGACATTCTAACCACTTAGAAACACTGGCATGCGTGGGTTTTTAATAATTTTTAAGAGCATAAAAGGCTCTTGAGACCCAAAGCTTGAAAATTGTTGCTTTAGGCCATATTTTTGTCAAAGTGTAATGTAATCTTTAATCCCCTCCCCTCCACCCCCCTATAGTGCTTTGAAGGTCCCCTGTAGAGAACTACAGAAGTTAGGTTATTTTTTTTACTTTTGGTTTCTGTTCCTCTTCCTCAAATAATTTAGATGTATTTCAATAACTGTTGATATAATCAAACAGGCTTTAAACTCTAAATTGCCTTACTTTTTGCCATGATTAGATCAGTGTTTTCAAAACTTTGTAATTACAGATTTATTTCAGTTTTAGGTAGCCTAGCCCAGCTGGATGGCTCAGCTGATTTATACCACTAAGGTTGCGGGTTTAATCCCTAGTCAGGATGCATATGGGAGGCAACCAATCAGTGTTTCTCTTGCATATCGATATTTCTCTTTCACCCTATATCTATCTCTAAACAATCAATAAAAATATCCTCAGGTGAGGATTAAAAAGAAAGAAGCCTTTTTTCTTTTCTTTTATAGAGTATATCAGAAACCACCTCTTAAATAATTGCTTATTTTTCTAAGTTTGTAATATGACTAAATCTTTCCCATGCTAAATTTTAATTTATTTATTGCATATAAACAGGGGATGAAAGAGAAATACCTTGACACTCCTGCTCCACCTCCCAAACTCTATTTTGAGTACTATAATGAAAGCTGAATGTGGGAAAGATCTCATCAGTTTTCTGTGTTAGCAATATTGTTACGAATCTTCATTGGAAAGTATCCTTTAGTGCCCAGCTCAATATTAAGTGCTGTGGCCAATAATAGCCACATATTAAATTCTAAGTTAGCTTTCTGAGGGTCAGATGAAAAACAGGGGCCCACTCTTCCCTGTTGGATTGGACCCTGGTGGATTCTTCTGGGAGTTAGCTTTCTCATGACAGGAATTTCTTCCATATATTGTTGTTAAAGGTACAAATGGCTTAAGAGGGAAAAGTATTTGGGAACTAGGTAGAAAAATCTAAGAATTTTTTTAACTCAATAATTAAGGTAAACTATATAACCTAAAATGAAGATTTCTTTTAGGTCACTTGGTAATGCTTATTTCTGCATGCATTTGATGATCAGAAGAATTTATTTTTACTTCATAAAATAAAAAAAATGGGGTTGAACTTTCATTTACCTAAAACATTTTTTTCTTTTTTAAAATTTTTTTAATTCCCACCCTGCCCTCTATCCTTCCCCCCCTTCCCCACTATCCTCATAGGTGTACTATTTTTGTTCAGTCTCTTCCCCCACAACCCCTCCCCCCCAGAGTAGTTAGTCCACTCCCTTTCTATGCCCTGATTCTATTATATTTACTAGTTTACTCTGTTCATCATATTATTTACTCACTTGATTTTTATTTATTTTTTATTTTTTCTAAAAATATATTTTATTGATTTTTGACAGAGAGGAAGGGAGAGGGATAGTTAGAAACATCGATGAGAGAGAAACACCGATCAGCTGCCCCCAGCACACTCCCTACTGGGTATGTGCCCACAACCAAGGTACATGCCCTTGATCGAAATCGAACCTGAGACCCTTGAGTCCGCAGGCCGACACCCTATCCACTAAGCTAAACCGGTTAGGGCTATCTTTACCTTTTTCTTCTTCTTCCTTTTCTTAAAGGATACCTTTCAGCATTTCATAGAATACTGGTTTGGTGGTGATGAACCCCTTTAGTTTTTTCTTATCTGTGAAGCTCTTTATCTGACCTTCAATTCTGAATGATAGCTTTGCTGGGTAGAGTAATCTTGGTTGTAGGTTCTTGCTATTCATCACTCTGAATATTTCTTGCCACTTCCTTCTGGCCTGCATAGTTTCTGTTGTGAAATCAGCTGACAGTCATATGGGTACTCCCTTGTAGGTAACTGGCTTTTTTTCTCTTGCTGCTTTTAAGATTCTGTCTTTGTCTTTTGCTCTTGGCATTTTAATTATGATGTGTCTTGGTGTGGTCCTCTTTGGATTCCTTTTGTTTGGGGTTCTCTGCGCTTCCTGGACGTGTAAGTCTCTTTCTTTCACCAGGTAGGGGAAGTTTTCTGTCATTATTTCTTCAAATAGGTTTTCAATATCTTGCTCTCTCTCTTTTTCTGGCACCCCCATAATTCAGATGTTGGTACGCTTAAAGTTGTCCCAGAGGCTCCTTACACTATCTTCATATTTTTGGATTCTTTTTCCTTTATGCTTTTCCGGTTGGGTTTTTTTTGCTTCTTTGTATGTCAAATCTTTGACTTGAGTCTTGGCGATCCTCTAGTCTGCTGTTGGAACTTTGTATAATATTCCTTATTTCAGTCAGTGTATGCTTAATTTCTAGTTGGTCCTTTTTCGTAACCTCAAGGGTCTCACTAGATTTCTTGAGGTTCTCACTAAATTTATCAGCAGTTTCACTAGACTTATTGAGGGTCTTACTAAATTTATCGGCGCTTTCTAGAAAATTCTTGAAAAACCTTGTAAGTGTGGTTTTGAACTCTATATCCAGTAGTTTGCTTTCCTCCATTTCTGCCATTTGTGACTTGTTTCTTTGTCTCTGCATTTTTTCTGCTTCCCTGTGTTGATAGAGTGGCTTTCTGTGTTAGGTGTCCTATAGGGCCCAGTGACTCAGCCTCCCCAGTTACCTGAGGTGGACACTCTTGGTGTATCCCTTTGTGGGCTTTGTGCACAGCACAGTCTTGTTGTAGTTAAGCCTTGATTGTAGTTGGTATCACTGGGAGGAATTGACCTCCAGGCCAGTTGGCTGTGAGAATCAGTTGTGTCTGCAGTGGGAGAACTTCTGTGCTGGAGACACCCTTCTGGGGCAAGACTTGCTTCAGTGGGTCTTTGGTGCTCACTGAGTCTGCCCCCTGAGTGTGTCCATATGGATCTGAGGAGTTGTAATCTGGATGGTCCCCCTCTGACCACTGGGTACACTGGCTCTTGGATCTGTAAGGAGGTGCTAATTTAGCCTCTGCCTGAGGCTACCCAGCAGGAGCTATGGAGAGATCTGCAGATTCCTCTTCTTTGATTGGGGTTTGGAGGTGCCCAGATGAGGCCCAGCTGTGAAGCATTGCAAGCTGCTGTGGGGCCTTTGGCCTTCTTTTGGATGTTCTGGGTCTCTCTGACCCAGCTGCAGTTTGTTAGGTAATTTTCAGAGTGCAAAGGGCCAGGCCATTCATATGCAAAAGCCTCTGCGCACAGCTTGGGCGGGACGGGGTCTCAGGGGATCAACAGGGCGGAGCAAGCAGTTATGGCTGATCCTCAGTCCTACCCTAAGAGGCCCCGAGTCTCTGTCCTCGGAATTGCTGGAAGCACCTCTGAGAGAAAGCCGCCCTCAAGTTCCGCCCGCTGCCAGAGAGTCCAGTTTCTCCCCGTATGAGTCTGGGTCCCCAGAGACTCGCCTGGAACTGGAGTTCAGAGCAGTCGGGAGCTTGTGTCTCCCTCCCGATTGAAAAAGACAGCCGCGCTTTCAGTTGCCAGCCCTTTCCATGTACGCCTCCGTACCTCTGCATTTTACTTCCGCACCTCCTCTGAGTCTCAGTGTGCTTTTCTCTTTCCTTCTAGTTGTAGAATTTCCACTCGTCCAGCCTTCCTGTGGTTCGGGATGATGTCTGTTTTATCTTTTAGTTGTATTTTCAAGTGGTTGTGTGAGACCACAATTTCTGGTGTTTACCTATGCCGCCATCTTGGTTTCTCTCTATCTAAAACATTTTGAAACAAGCTTTTTAAAAAACTTTTTATTGAGTTGTTGCCGAAACCGGTTTGGCTCAGTGGATAGAGCGTCGACCTGCGGACTGAAAGGTCCCGGGTTCGATTCCGGTCAAGGGCATGTACTTGGGTTGTGGGCACTTCCCCAGTGGGGGATGTGCAGGAGGCAGCTGATTGATATTTCTCTCTCATCCATGTTTCTAACTCTCTCTCTCTCTTTCTTCCTCTCTGTAAAAAATCAATAAAATATATTTAAAAACAAACAAACAAACAAAAAAAAAACTTTTTATTGAGTTGTCAAGCAGCAATTGTAACCAAGGCAGATAGACAGCACTAGTATAGGCATCTCTTGCTTTCATTTCTCCCCATAGGGCAGAACCAGTTAAATATAAGAGTTAATATACACGTGAAGCCTTTTTTTTCTTTTTAAAGTTCTCAGATTTATTAATTCTGGCAGTTTTCTCACTCCTGTAGTCTTTTACCCAAGACATTTTATTTATTTATTTTATTATAACACTTAAAGTATTACAAAGAGTATTACATATCCCAACACATTTATTGAACACCTATTGTATGTACCAGGCATTGATACCCTTACGAATTTTTAATCTATGGAGAGTTTTGAACATTATAGTGGTTTTCTGTTTTTTGTTTGTTTGTTTTTCATCTAACTGGCCTTTGATTATTATGGCAGGAAAAGTGTTTATTGACTTCTATTTTTATAAAATTTACTTATGTTATGCAGAGTGTGTGTGTGTGTATATATATATATATATTTAAAATATAATATCTAAAATAGTTATTGAAGTACTTTATTTTTTGTGTTTCCTAATTATGTTGAAACCTAGGCCATTATTAGTCATTATCATTTTTTTTAAAATATACTTTTTAAAGATGTTGATATGCAAGTTGTTTTTTTCTTTTTTCTTTTGGTGTGTGTGTGTGTGTGTGTGTGTGTGTGAGTGAAGTTTTTCCAGTTTTCTTATCTGAATACATGTCCTTTGGGATTTTTATTAGTAGATCCGGAATTTTTAATTGGAGTGAATTGCTTGAATTTTCAGTTTTTCTTTGTTATTCTTATTAGCTATAATCTTTAATGTTATAAAATGTAAGCTTCAATGATATTTATTACACTTCCTTTACAAGCAGAAGAAAAAATTAAATAGATTTTGCTCTCGACTAATGTTGATATAAAGTTTTAGTCGTGGTGGATATTTTCAATGTGAGCTGGTTTCCTAAGTTAAACCTTATCAACCTCAGTTGTGCTATTTATTTCATCAGAAGTTTTAACCAAATGGCAGGTGTTTTATTATATTATCATCTACAGTAAAGGGTAGAGAGCCCATTCAGGAAAATCTGAGAATTTTTTATTTGTATCTGATCTTCAAATCTACCTAAAGATTGGTATGGATAATAAAATAATCATGTGAGCCTATGGAAGGAAAATGTTTGAGAAACCCAAAAGGATATTTGTTCATAGTATATTCTTTTTTAAAGTATAACAAATTTGTTATTTTCTTAAACCAACTATACTGAATATTTTTTTAAAAATTAAAAAATATGCATGCCTACATTTAAAAAATACCAGTTACTTCATGTTGTTGTTTTCCAGTGGTTTCCCAGAACATATACCTCTCTTAGACTTTCTTTTTTATTTTTAATATTAAATTTATCTTTATTTTTGGAAGTATTACAGAAAATCCCTTTTCTCCCCCATTGACCTTTTCTAGCCCATCCCCTCCCCCTGCCCCAGGCCTTCACCACACTATTGTCTGTGTCGATGGGTTATGCATATATGTGTATAAGTTTTTGATTGATCTCACTTTCCCGTCCGCCCCATCCTCCCTCCCCCTCCCCCTTCCCCCAGATTCTTCAGTCTGTTCCATGCTTCTGCCTCTGGATTTATTTTGTTCTTTTACACAAATATTAGATGTTAGACATGTTGATGAAATATTGAACATATATTTGTTATTAAAATACAGAACAGTGGAGTACTATACTAAATGACAGTTGTGTGTATTTATTACAGTCCTGTGATATGGTTTGTTTAATTAAGTTACTAAATCTGATGGCTGACCTGAACCTTTCAGTCATTGTTGAGGCACTTACTCTTACATATTCCTTGGAATAATCTATGCTTAGCTCTCTTACCTACTTTATCTTTATTCATTTTTGATTATCTGATTTAGTATTAGTAATTTATTTGGCTCCTGGTAATTGCCCTTGCAGAAAACTTTTCTGATATCAACACTGATTTATTTAACTTTAATGAGGTTAAAGCATTGATTGTGCATTTAATGTAATTATTTGCCAAACATTGCATGATCATCAATCTAACCACTCGAAGTTCTTTTTCTAACACTAGGTTGCAATTTAAAAGTTTATGAAACATATATTTTGAGATACATAAGGACAGAGGAGTTTAAGCTCAGTGATCTTTTAGTTTGGGATATGCTTATAATATTAGTCTTTTAAAACCATTTGAAACGTTTAGGAACAAGTGGAAATCCATTGTAGCACCAGGATTTCTGTTTTTAGTAGCTAAATAAAGATTTTATTTTAAGAAAAAGTTTGCTTTTTCTCCTATAGGCAGCAATGGATTTTTGCATGAACATGAACACAAAAGCAAATAGGAAGAAGTTGGTACGGGCACTCTTTATAGTTCCCAGACAAAGGTAGGTATTTTTTTTAAAATAAAGAGCAATTTTTTAGTGTTTCTACTTGCAGTGATGATTGTAAGATCAAAGTTTTTATTTAGTTACTTATTTAAAAATACTCCTTGTCAATAGACGCTATTAGCATATTTTCTATAACTTCTTTGTCATTGATTTTTGTTCTTTTTGTCATTAGCTCTAAGTGGAAATATTTCTTCTGATGCTTTCCTGTTATTTTAAGAGAAAATATAACCTATTTTAAGAGAAATGATCATCTTTGCTAGAAGCAGTTGGTTTACATTTTTGCTTCTGAGGAGAAAAAAATAATAAATGGTATATAAGGTTTTTGGAGAGTTTTATTTGTGCAAAGATCACACTAATTGAATGTGTTCAGTTCTTGCTGTTGTATTTAAATGAAAATATTCAAGTTATTTTGTAATTATGATAGTTTAGAATTGGAAGTCACATTAGCATGTGTTGCTGAGAATTCAAGTAGTATCTTCAGTTGTTTAGAGAATTCTAATGCTCTAAATTACACTAAATTAAATGCCTTACTTCATCTGCAAATTTCAGGACCACTTGAGATTTTTCACCTTAGGAACCTGGAGAAGATTGATTTCTGTTTGTTCAACAATTAGTAATTAAAGAATTTTGTTAACTATTATGATTACTATATGAACATAGCCAAGATAGATACAAAAGATAAGAATTCTAAGGGATTTTACTAAAGGTTTCTTAAACAAGATTTTCATTTGGTTCATTACTTAATAAGGGCCCATTATCTTTTAATGGTAAGATTTCTCAGTAAAACCAAATCACTGCTTTTCTTTTTTCTTTTGTATTGGTTTTTATCTCTTCTCAGCGTCATTAATATGAGCATTAGGTTTTTTATTTTAGTGGGGAAAGGGAAATGCAATGTGCTAATATCATGAGTAGATAACAGTTATCTAGTTGAGAAAGTAAAAAAGATGAATGTTTTTATTACATAAAATTATATATTATATTTCATCAAATGCAAGATGCTATTAGTAATGAAGTGTACCATTATTTTATGTGCAACCAAGAGAGAAAAATATTGCCATTTTGAAGGCTTTGATTAAGAAGCATATTTCACTGTCTTACACATAAAAGTAAGTTTATAGTTATGAGTACACGAAACACCTAGTTTATTCTTGTGTTATTATTTATTATTGTATTATTTTCCATATGAACAACTGTAAACCTTTTGCCCCACCCTGTATTTGTAAATGGGAAAAAGTGCACTTTGAATTGAGGAAATATTTTTTTCCTCATTATCTTGGACCAAATTTTTTCAAATAATGCTTTTTTTTTTACCTTCATATCTTTCTGTTCAACTGTTTTTAAAAATATATATATTTTATTGATTTTTTACAGAGAGGAAGGGAGAGGGATAGAGAGTTGGAAACATCCATGAGAGAGAAACATCGATCAGCTGCCTCCTGCACACCCCCTACTGGGGATGTGCCCACAACCAAGGTACATGCCCTTGACCGGAATCGAACCTGGGACTCTTCAGTCTGCAGGCCGACGCTCTAGCCACTGAGCCAAACTAGTCAGGGCTCAACTGTTTTTTTTTGAATGCAGAAACATGTATAACAGTCGCCTGGAATTATTTAACAGAATAAACCAAAGTTAGCAAAAATAAAAGGCTTTGTTAACAAAAGAAATCATGCTATAATATTTAAGTAGTTTACTTACAAAAGAGCATCTTGCTTCTTTGTATCCCCATTTCATTCTACTCCACCATTGCCTGCTTCCGTCTCTAAAAGAAAAAGTTCTCAAAAACTATGTACTACTGTTTGGTTCTTACGCCAGTTATTTCTTTATAGCTGAATTTATCTGCTTTTGGCTTAGCAGATTTCTGCAAATTAGAAGTAATTGGAATCTGCTAGAAAACAGAGACTTGAAAGTAGTAGGAAGTGACAATTTATAGTTTGAGAGGAGAAAAAATAAAGATACAAGTACTTAAAATGGATGTATAACATTCTGGAGCCATGAGTAAGAAACCACATAGTCTTACATATCTGAAATGTATACATATAATTAGAGTTTTGGTGTGTTGTTTTAAATCCTCACCCGAGAACTTTTTATTTATTGATTGATTTTAGAGAGAGAGGAAGGAGAGAGAAAAACATCGATGTGAGAGAGAAACATTGTTCAGTTGCCTCCCGTATGTGCCCCAACCAGGAATCGAACCCATAACCTTTTGGTGTACTGGACGATACTCCAACAGAGCAACCCAGCCAGGGCTTATTTAGGTTTCTTCACATCAGCCTAAGTGATCAGGAAAGATTAAGTTGTGTTCTAAAATTTTTTTAAAATATTTTTAAAATTGGTTTTTAAAGAGGAAGGGAGAGGGGTAGAGAAGTAGAAACATCGATGAGACAGGAACATCATCTATCGATCTGCTGCCTCCTGCACGTCCCACTCTGAGGTTCGAGCCTGCAATCCTTGGCATGAGCTCTAACCTGGACTCAAACCTGTGACCTCTTGGTTCCTGGGTTGACACTCAGCCGCTGAGCCACACCAGCAAGGTTGTGTTCTAAAATTTTTTCACTCATTGACTAATTCAATAACACAGTGATTTTCAACTTGTGTGTTGCAAGAATTTTTACAACAGAACATGCAATACTTGACTAGTCAGGACACTGACCTCTTTTCCCTTAGATTGTCAAATAACAAAATGACAACAGCCAACACAGCAATAGCTGTCTGGTGAGAATGAATCAAAATTATACCACTTTTTTTTTTACCAGGTTGGCAAAAAATATATGTTTTGGTGTGCTGCAAAATTTTAGTAGTTAGTGTATGTGCACCATGAGATGAAAAAGGTTGAAAAATCGCTGCATTAAGGGTTTGCTGTATACTGTGATTAGTGCTTTAGATACAGTGGTGAACAAGAGAGGTTTGACTCTTGTATTCATGCAGACTATAGTTTGGATAGAAAGATAAAGAAGCCTAAGTGTAATTACCAAGAAGAATCACAGTGTGCTTTCAAGTATATAGCAAGTGGAACTGATTGATTTATTCTTGGGTGAGAGAAAGCTGCCTGGAACAAGGGCATTTATGTTTTTAATATTTTTAGAATGTATTTTTACTGATTTCAGAGAAGAAGGAAGAGAGGGAGAGAGAGACATAGAAACATCAGTGATGAGAGAGAATCATTGATAGGCTGCCTCCTGCATGCCCTGCCTTGGGGAGTGAGCCCACAACTTGGGCATGTGCCCTCACCGGAATCAAATTGTGACCTCCTGGTTCATAGGTTGATGCTCAACCACTGAGCCACGCCTGCTGGGCCTTAACAAGGGTATTTAATCTGAGTTCTGAGAAAGGAATTATCTAGACTAGGGGCGGGTGAAGAAAGGGAATGTTGAAAGAGCATTTCTGATAGAGGCAACAGTATTGCAAGAGCCAGAGACTTGGTATCAAACTACTGCAAAACTTTTTCTTGGTTTCTCTGGACATTGACATCTAGAATAAGCTGCAGGAAATAGGCCCTGTTTATTTATTTTATTTTATTTTTGTCCTTTTTACTTCTTTATCTCCAGCATTTAGCACATTGCCTGACAGCTAGAAGATGATATTTAATGCCCCATTTCAGCTTCTTCCGTCTTAATTCTAGCCACTCTTGCTCTTGCAAAATCCTGATCTGTAATGATTTCTTGACTACCCTTTGCTCTCTCTACTTCCACGCATCTGTTTTCTATTCTATTTGTGGGATATCCTTTTTTATTATTCTGAAAATCTCTGGCTCAGCCTTTAAGTCTTATTTAGCATCAGAGCTAAATATAGGCAGTCCTTAGGTTATGTCAACATATATGTTTCGTGGTTATGTTGCCACCTGCCATTTACTGTATTTATAAAACAAAAAAACGTTCTGTCATTTTGATGTATGTACATATGTGCTTTATGTTTGTTTTATATACGAGAGGCCCGGTGCACAAAAATTTGTGCACTCGGGGGTGGGGGGTCCCTCATCCTGGCCTGTGCCCTCTTGCAGTCTGGGATCTTTTGGGAGATAACGACCTGCTGGCTTAGGCTAGCTCCCGAGTGGCAGAGGGCAGGCCCACTCCCTAGGTGCAGCCCCTGGTCGGGCTCAGAGCAAGGCCAATTGGGGAGTTGGGGCGCCTTTCCCTGTCATGCACAGAACAGGGAGATTGGGAGGTTGTGATGCCACCCTCAATCACGATCAGGCTAGGGCCGATTGGGGGGTTGGGGCACCGCCCCCTGTCACACTCAAGGCAGGGTCGATGGGGAGGTTGCAGCGCCTACCCCTGTCACGCACAGAGCGGGGCCCATCAAGGGGGTTGGAGTTCTGTACCCTGGCACGACCAGAGCAGGGCCAATCAGGGAGTTGGGGCGCTGCCCCCGTCACACACAGAGCAGGGCGATCAGGGGGGTTGGGTGCTGCCCCTTGTCACGCTGATCCCGGCGCCGGGAGGCATATTACCCTTTCACTATATAGGGTAGAGGCCTGGTGCATGGGTGGGGCCGGCTGGTTTGCCCTGAAGGGTGTCCTGGATCAGGGTGGGGGTCCCCACTGGGGTGCCTGGCCAGCCTGGGTGAGGGGATGATGGCTGTTTGCAGCTGGTCACACATCCTTCAGGGCGGGGGCCCCACTGGAGTGCCTGGCCAGTCTGGGGGAGGGGCTGAGGGCTGTTTTTAGGCGGGGGGGGACTGAAGCTCCCAACCACTCCTTTTTTCCTTTTTTTTTATTTTGGGCCAGCTTTAGCTTTGAGGCTCGGCTCCAGCTCTTAGGCCTCCCCTGCTGAAAGTAGGTTTCTGGCCTTTGCTTACAATGTTGCGAATCTGCTGGCTGAAGTCCGGAGGTATTTGTTAAAATGTTTCTTAAACTGCCAGCTCAGCGGCCTGCAGCGGCAGGCAGGGAACGTTGATTTCCTCCGTCACTGAGACAACCAAGCCTCATGTTAGTTTCAAGCTGCCTGGCTGCCGGCCGCCATCTTGGCTGACAGTTAATTTGCATATCTCGCTGATTAGCC